GATGCGGGGCTCGATCCCAGGACACTGGGATCATGACCTGAGCCGAAGGCAGAGGCTTTAACCCACTGAGCCACCCAGGCACCCCGGTAAATGATTTTTTAAAATAAATTGTTGGATTCAGTTTTTTAATATTTTGTTAAGGATTTTGCATCTATGTTCATGAGAGATATTGCCTGATGTCCTGTTGTTGCTGTTGCTGTTGTTGTTGCTGTCTTTATAAGATTTTGGTAACAGGTAAAACTGACCTCATAGCATTAATTTGATAACTTCCTTATTCTTGAATTTTTTTGGAATAGTTTAAGAAGAATAGGTATTAATTTTCCTTTAAATGTTCAGTAGAATTCATCTGCTATGCTTCTGGGTCATAGACTTTTTTTGTTGGGAGTTTTTTCATTGAATTGCATTACCAGTAATTGGTCCATTCAAATTTTGTATTTCTTCTTGCCTCAGTTTTGGTAGTTTTGGTAGTTTACATGTTTCAAAGAATTTGTCCATTTCTTCCTGGTTGCCACTTGTTTGGAGGGAAGGTGGATGGGGGGATGGTTTAAACAGGTGATTGGTGTTAAATATGGCACTTGTGATGAGTAGAGTGCTATGTATAAATGTATACATTTATGTATAAATGATGAATCACTAAATTCTATGCCTGAAACTAATGTGGGTATACATATTATGTATATATTGTACATACACACAAATTTGGCAAATCATTTTACCTAGACTAAAAAAAAATAACAATCTCAAATAAAATGAGACATAAAAGAGAAGACACAAAAATTCCGTGTAATGCCATGGGATTACAAAGGATCACCAAAGAATACTGTGAACAATTACATTCCAAAAAAATTGGATAACCTAGAAAAAATGATAAATTGCCAGATTGATACAACCTACCAAAGCTGAATGACAAATAAACTGTAGATATGAACAGACCAATGATAGGAAGGAGATCCAAATGGATATGGTAAATTTATCTTGAGGCATATTCCACGTAATATGGCAAAACACATATAATATTGTTAAATTAATTTTTAAATACATATTCACTGCTTAGTATTTAATCATCTTGTTAGTTTGCAATATATTTTGACCACTTAGAATTAGTTTACTTATTTATTTCCTGAATCAATTAAAGTGTATATACAACTAATAGTTCTCAGGCACTCTTATAGATATTGGAAATACAATAACAAAAAAATATAAAAATCCCTTCCTATTGTGATTTGTCTCATATGGAACTCAGTAAAACATACTTAGCAATAGAGATACAAAAATAAACAGTAGAGTCATTATAAATATTCTTAAGAAACATCATATCCTCCAGGAAAGATAATTCATCACTCAATTTCAATATTGTGATACATGTTAAAATGATAGTGGACACCAGTTGCTGAACTTGAATAATGTGAATTTCTTGTAGAAGATGAAGTGTACCTTATTTTAGGATAATTGAGGGTAATGGAGGAGACTGTTGCCAGAAAGCCTGTACCTTTTCTGGTCAACAAGATTGCACATTACTATAAAACTTTTTTCTTCAAAGTGCATGCTCAAACATATACAGATCTGAATTATATTTCCAGGTTATATTCATGGTAATAAAATAATGATAATATCAATGGTTATGTTTGAAAGAGCCAACCAATATCTTCTTCCACTAGACAGTAGTCCCTCAAGCAATATGGATGGTTCCAGAAATGGCCTGGGTATTGATACAAGAATGCTAGAGTGCTGAGAAAAGACAGACATGCTGAAAACTTACTACTAATATTGATTTATTTAGAGTCAGGATGTGTAGTCAAAGATATAGAGGTAAATTCAGTAATTGGAATACAGATTTGGTAGATTAAAAACAAGCTGGAAATGATTGGCAAATTAAGTGCAGATGACTCAAGAACATTATATCCTGGTTTCTATACCCACTGCTGAGACATGCAGAAAACATTGGAAGAGTCTTACAAGATCAGACAAAGATGGAATATCTTCATAATGTGTGTATTTTAATGAACTTATTCCATCCAACAATATTCTTATGAAGTCACATGCTTCTTCCAAGAGATAATTTAGCTATCATGACATAAATAATTCAGGTAACAAGAATGGATCTTCATTCATGTTTAAATGAGTACTTCCTTAGAACAATTTCCTTATTACATTTAATTAAAATATTTTCACTATTCATTCAACTGTAATATCTCTGTTACCATGAAAATTTAAGGACATTATTAGAATTTAAGAAAAATCCCATTTTGTTAAAAAATGAAACTGGACTTCTTTCTTATACCACACACAAAACCAAACTCAAATGGATGAAAGACCTCAATGTGAGTCAGGAAACTATCAAAATCCTAGAGGAGAACATAGGCAGTGACTTCTGTGACCTTGGCCATAACTACTTCTCACTGTACACATCTCCAAGGGCAAGGGAAACAAAAGCTTAAAAATGGACTATTGGCACTTCATCAAGATTAAAAACTTCTGCACAGTGAAGGAAACAATGAATAAAACTCAAAGGCAACCTGCAGAATGGAAGAAGATATCTTCAAATGATATATTTGATAAAGGGTTATTACCCAAAATCTATAAAGCACTTATCAAACACAACACCACAAAACCACATAATCCAGTTAAAAAATAGGCAGAAGTCATGAAGAGACATTTTCCCAAAGAAGACGTACAGCTGGTTAACAGAAACATGAAAAGAAACTTAACATCACTTGGCATCAGGGAAATACAAATGAAAACCACAATGAGATACTACCTCATACCAGTCAGAATGGTTAAAACTAACAGGAATCAACAGATGTTGGCACAGATGTGGAGAAAGGGGAACCCTCCTACACTGTTGGTGGGAATGCAAGCTGGTGCAGCCACGCTGGGAAACAGCATGGAGGTTCCTCAGAAAGTTAAAAACAGAACTACCCTATGATTGAGCAATTATTCTTCTACTGGGTATTTGCCCAAAGAATATAAAAATACTAACTCAAAGGAGTACATGCACCCTATGTTTACAACAGCATTATCTATACTAGGAAAACTATGGAAACAGCCCAAGTGTCCACTGACAGATGAATGAATAAAGATGTGATATATCTATATCTATCTATCTATAAATAGATAGATAGATATAGATATATCACTATATAGAGAGGGGGCATTATTTTTAAGCAATATATATTGTGATTTTTTTGGTATTAGTTTTTATGTTATTTATTATTAAGTGAAATCTTACAACAATAGTATACTATATGTCATTACTTTAATTTTAGTCTCTACAGGACTAAACAGATTTTAACTATTTGGACCAACTTCACACAGTAACAGTGTGACTGTGCTAGAACGCAACACAAACTTATGTCTCAAATCAAATCCAATTAAACAAGAGGGGACAATGACTATCGAAATGTTGGTTGCTATTTCTTTACTCATCTTTGAATTAATGTTGGTTTATTTATTCATGACACTTGCTCAAATATCCTACGCATATATATTTCTTGTCTTCCAATCTCATATATAAATCCTTCTAGAACATACGTTGGATGGTTGGTTGATACGAGTTTATATGAACAGCTTAGTGATCTGTAAGTCTAAGGGGTTTGGAGAAAAGTAAAGGGTCACAGGAAAAATAATCATTGAAATAAAAAAGTGTAGTCTTGAGTTGAATAACTGAATTAATTTCAGTGGTTCTGAAAGGTAAAATAAATAAATCTCTCTGATAGTTCAGCAGGGGGTTTACATTTCTGATGAATTGTATTGCCACAGCACCAGTAGAATAGGAATAGGAAGACAACCGCTGCAGATTTTAAATTCAGTGAAGGTTGGGAAGATCCATCTGTAACTTAAAACTTACATATCAAGTGGGATAAATCATTGGGAAGTAATATTTCAAAAATCAAAGGAAATTAAATTTACCATTTTAATATGGGACTTTATTTGTATTAAATTCAACATACATTGATATTTACAGAGAAAAATATCAGAAGATTGTGTGACAGAAAGTGAGACTCTATGTCAAGCAGTTATCAGATTTAAGATCAAGGGGTCATACAGGAACTTGACTTTAGAATAATTAAATGAACAGGAAAAAGGGAAGAATAAGGACTGCTTTAGAGAGTACATATGTAGGGCACCTGGGTGGTTCAGTCAAGTTGATTGTCTGACTCCAGATTTTGGCTCAGGTCATATCTGAGAGTTGTGAGATGGACCCTGTGTTGGGCTCAGTGCTCAGTATGAAATCTGTTTGAGATTATTCTTCTCCTGTTGCTTCTCCTCCCGCTATCTAGCTATATATATATATTTTTTTAAATATATAAAATATATTAAATGTTATTTAATATATATTAAAAAAACAGTGTTTGTATGTAGAAATGTTTGCATGTACTTTGGTTCTATTAATTCTCTAAAAGATTTTAAGACCCTCCCTGAACACTGGATCTACATCAGGAAATACTGGTTTAGAATATATGTATGGATATTTTAGACCGTATCTTCGTGTATATTTCACCCTTACGTAAAAGTAAGCATTTACATAATTAATCACAAAGAACGCTTTCATTGTCAAGCATGCAAATCATCGAATTCTATAAAAATATCACTTTTGAGGTCTTACATTTATTAGCATACCTATGTATTAATGGTGGTGTCTCTCAGGGATTCTTTGACTTTCTCATTTCGAAGGCTGTAGATGGAAGGGTTCAGCATTGGTGTTACAACGGTGTTCAGCACTGTGGCAAATTTGTTAATGCTCATTGCATTGCCTTTCTTTGGACGAACATAGAGGAAGATGGAACTTCCATAATAAATTGTAACCACTGTGATGTGTGAAACACAAGTAGAGAAGGCCTTCTGCCGTCCCTGCACAGTAGGAATTCTAAGGATAGTAATAACAATGTAGGTGTAAGACACTCCTGTCAGGAGCAAGGAGCCCAGGAGCAACACAGCAGAGGAGATAAAGTCAACCACCTCAGCCAGAGAGATGTCTGTACAGGTCAGCTGTAGCATGGGGGCTCGGTCACAGAAGAAATGATGGATTTTATTTGGCCCACAAAAGATTAACGGAGCAGTTAGGATGGATGGAGACAACATTGACAAAAATGCACCTAGATAGGACCCCGCAAGAAACATGCATGTCTGTGTGTTCATGATGATGGCATACCTCAGTGGGTTGCAGATGGCAATATACCGATCAAATGACATGACAGCCAGGATGAAGAATTCTGTGGATCCCAGAAGGAAGTAGAAAATAGATTGTGTGAGACATCCCATGAAGGATATTGCCTTGGTGAGGGAGAATGTGTTTGCTAGCATCTTAGGTACCACAGTGGAGGTGATGGCAACTTCAAGGAAAGAAAGATTGGCTACAAAGAAATACATGGGTGAATGCAGACGGTAGTCAACACACACCAAAAGGATGATCATGGTGTTGCCAATCAGAGATATCATGTACATGAGCAGGAATTCAGAAAAAATAAGTATTTCTACTTCTTTTTCAGTCTCAAACCCCAGAAGTATGAACTCAGTGACTCTGGTCTTATTTCTATAATCCATAATGTCCCCAGTTTAACCTGGAATAACAGAAAGTCCTTTTATAATTAATTCTTGCATCTTAACCCTGGATATACCTTGTCAATATTCATTAATTATTTTTTTGTTGTTGCCAAGGCAGACAGATAATTTTATTTTCAGTTTCTAAGTATCTACTGAGATAAATTGTATAAGATTTAAGTCCTCAGCTGGGACATTCACTTATTACAGTTGGGAACCTAATAATGGATCAAGTAATATATAACCAACTCTTATCAACTTTCCCTTTGAAATAGATTCCTTATTGTGTGTCATTAATCCATCAAGGATGTAATGACCTGATTTAAAGGCAGAGGTCTAACCACTGAGCAACCCTGGTGCCCCAAGGATGACTTGGCACTTTTCGAGATGCTAACAGAGTTTTGGTAAAATTTAATTATATATAAAATTGTATTTAAAAGAATGCCTTTTGAGCTAAGTGCATTATTTTACATGTGGCATGATACTGTTCAAAACTAAGTGAATTCAATTACATAACAGAAATATTTTCCAAAAAGTTCATGATTTCTGACTCACTGGCTCCAACCTCCACATTATCCAATTGGTTTTGAACAATATGAAATCAGCTTTACGTAGTCTTTGTAAGAAATCAGTCTCCAGAGTAAATGAGATTACCTCAGATATTAAAAGGGTTTGGGAAAGCATGAAATATAACTTAATTTATCACTATTTACTGTTTATGCCAGAATTCAGCCAGAGAGAGTATATGCTTAACAAGCACTTTAAAAATATTGAACTTTTGAATTTTGACTGGCTGAAAAAAAGCAGCTCCTGCAAAAGATAGCTTATTTCATACTAGAATTTTTAACAGAAATACACAAACAAGCAAGCAGCAACATGGTGCAGAGAAGGGACTTTCTTATTTACTCCCTGATCTGATCACTTGGGAGTTTCTATATTGCTCCATAAACCTAGGTGATTTGTGACAAAATACAGTCCATATCCCATATGACAAGATATAGAAAAGTTCAATATTAAGAGATGCTTGAGAGTTAATTTTAAATGAATGTTTTATTCTTCTTCTTTCATAGATAGATGGGTGAGGTTTGGAGGGGTGAGATAAAATTTGTCAGGGTCCATAGAGTTTCAGTGGTAGAAGTGAGACATTATTCCGGGTTTTCTGACTTCAATTTGCTGTTCTTTCTTGAACAAGATATTAACTCCTTTCATTCATTACATTATTATACATTTAAAGGACCAGGAACAGTAATGATTTCCTGACATATGCAATTAAAAATGAAAAGGTTAAATGCCATCATTTTGGATCCAAGCTAGTACATTTATCTATGGTTCCATAAAATAATCTTTTAGAATTATATTGCATGAATTAGTTATCAAGACAACAAACTTTTAATATGGTGACATTGTGTGAAGCGCCTTAATCACATTGTTTGTCTATTACTGGGCCAGAGAAAAGACAATGGGATGCATTTGGAGAAAGGAAAGATTATTTTGGACTAAGGGGTATCACTGGGACATGTTCTTTCTGTAGTTAAATAAAGAGTGGTTTGAATTTGAGAAAAATAGCACTATGAGAGCACTATGAGAAATGCTGGAAGCCACAGGAAAGGCAGAAACAACCATCTAGAGAAGACACGTAAAGACCCATTTGGTTAATGGCAAAATTTTGTGTAATGCTTCAGTTAATTGAAAGGAAGAGTGGGGAAAGGAAGAAATCATAGTAATGGGGAACATGAGAAAAAAATAATAAGTGAGTGCAAAAAAAATTTTAAGAACTAATAATAATATAGTTGACCATTGAGAAAAGCAGAAATTAGAAGTGCTGACTCTTCATGCAGTTGAAAATCCATGTATGATTTTTGACTACCCAAAGCGGAACTACTAGTAGCCTACTATTGACAGGAAGCCTCACTGATAACACAAGCAGGTAATTAACACACATTCTGCATGTTGTATGCATTATATACTGGTCTCCTACAATAAAGTAAGCCGGAGGAGAGAACAACCTATTATTAAAGAATCATAAGACAGAATGCTCAAGGGTTAACTGTATGGTGAGATCGCTACTTACCTGCTGAAATATACCTCACACTTTGCATTAAAGTTTACATTAATCTTTTTAAATTTGAACAGTGTCTCCCTTGTTACAGCTACAAGGTTTGAATGAGATCCATAGTTGGAATCCCTTCTGTAAATTAGCTGCTGTTGTTGTTCTTGCTGTTGTTGCTTTTTCTGATGGTCCTAGAATTTTGGGAAACAAAGCGGGGAGAATACATTCATGGCTATAGAATAGCTCATAACAGCTTAATTAGGTGATGATGGGTCCTCTTCCCTTGCATTGTAGGTAAGACGATCAAGATTATGAAATTTTTAGGATCATCTCCCTAAGTCACTGCAATTTAGAAAGAGGATTAAAGCCTGAGCTCATCATTGCTTCTCCCCTGGAGGCAGAGCATCTAGGATAAGTGGTCTGCAGGGGAAAAAAAAAAAAAAAACAAGTTTCCCAAGTTTAACAAAGTGGAAAAAAAAACTTCCATAAAATATGTACCCCCTCCCCCCAAAAAAGAAATAACTACTTCTATAGATGTACTTTGGATCACAATGAATCATTAAAAGTATACAGTACAATTCATTATTATTGATTTAGGAGCCAAGTTGTCATTTTTAACATCATTGTCATAATTAGCATAAGTTCTGTGTTTTATGAATACTTATGTATTAGGCACTCTTTTAACATTTTTCCACATATTATCTCTCTTATCCTTATAATAATAATGTGAGAAATGTGATATTATTGCTCATTTGTAGTATTTAGTTTATACAATTAATATAAGACAAACCATATAAAGTGTTAAAATGCCTTAAAATTTAAATCTAATTTATATTAAATCACATTATATTACAAATATAAATTTAATTCATTAAATATTAATATTCATATTATTAAAATTAAATATTAAATAATATACAATAAATACAAATGTAATTTATATTAAAGTATATTAAATAATTAGATTATATTAAACAATTAAATTAAAATAATTATAATATAAATTACTAAAATTTATTGAGTGCTTACATATATTCTGAGTCACTGAGACATGATGCCTGAATCAGAGGCTATAATTTAGTCAGAATGAAAAGACATAAATATGTTTAAAAAAATATTTTTTACACATATGTTAATTTGTGGTTTTGAATATAGAGTAAGGAAACTGCATTTTTGTACTTAAAAAATTTTTGAATATGCAACTAATAAATCACTAAGCTCTAACTCTGAAAATAATAATACACTATATATTAATTAATTAATTAATTAATTAATTTTATTTAATTTGTTTTTTAAAGATTTTATTTGCCAGTGAGAGAGAGAGAGAACAGGAGCAGGGAGAGGGAGGGAGAGGAAGAAGCTGACTCACTGCTGAGCAAGGAGTTCATGACACACAGGATTGATCCCAGGATCATGATTTGAGTCAAAGACAGACTCTTAACCATCTAAGCCACCAGGCACCCCAAATTAAATTTAAATTTAAAAAAAAAACTTAAAAAAATGATAGAAACCAAAAAGAAGGAGAATTTAGTTTTGTTTTGTTTATTTAAATTCAATTAGCCAAAATAAGGAATAGTGCAGAGGGTCATAGGTGAAGGGAGTGAAAACTGAAATGTTTGAATAATGTTCTCCCAAAATATTCTACTATGATAAATTACCTTTTTTACAAGTAAGAGAACTGGTTATACATAGAAACAGAAACTATAGTTAGGTTACCTAATCAATAGACTGATGGTTTCCCATCATGCAGCTATATGGTAATTCAGATAAAAAACCCATGATAATCTTTTCTTGCTTTGAGTGTTTAATAAACTATCCTTATCAAATAATGGGTTGTATTTTAGCCTCTAGGATGAATTACAGAATTTTGGTAGCCCTTTGTTTTTGGTTTTTTTTCTCTATTTTTTTTAATTTTATTTTATTTTTCAGTGTTCCAAGATTCATTGTTTATACACCACACCCAGTGCTCCATGCAATTTGTGCCCTCCTTAATACTCACCACCAGGCTCACCCAACCCCTCATCCTTTCCCTTCTAAAACCCTCAGTTTATTTCTCAGAGTCTGCAGTCTCTCATGTTTCATCTCCCCCTCCAATTTTCCCCAATTCACTTTCCTTTCCTTCTCCTAATGGTAGCCCTTTGTAATAATTTTCTCTTTCTTCTAGGTCCTTGTTTTCTGTCTCATTACCCTCACCATCTGTATTGGAATTTATTTAGTTCTTTACATATCTTTATATTTTTCAACTTATACTTAGTGCACCTAATTTCTCTTTGCCTGGAATTTTCTCACTGCATTCTACCACATTTACCAGTTTAAAGCCTCACATGACCTGAATAAAATCTTTCTTCTATAAACATAACCAGATTCTTACGAGAGTCTCTAGGCAAATCCATGATAATGTTATTGCATTTATAAAGTCATAATATTTACATTAATTTGTAATATGAGTTTTCCCAAATAAGCTAAACTTTAAATAAGACCTGGAACTATGCTTGTTCTATTAATATTGTATTTAAAATATTGAGCCCATTTCTTGTAAGACAACCTCAATAAGGACAGTATGAATGGATTAATGAATGGATTAGTGAATGATGTGAGAAAAATACTGCATTGGGAAAAGAAATGTAACACTGTTCTATAAATGTGCAGTTTTAGGTGCCTAAGGAAAAAACAAGTGTTTATATGATAAATATAGGAGGACAAACAAAACCTCAACAATTATACAGCTAGGGGCAACCAAAAATAGTACTTTTGTATATCTGTAGTATCTGTTGTAAGTATCTGTAGTATCTGTCTCCTCTTTCAATTTGGATTTTATAGGAATATTCTCTGTTTCATTTTTATAGCTAATGTTTTGTCAGTTTTATTTTTTCTAGTGTTTTTCTAGTCTCCATTTGACTTATTTCTTTTTTTTTAAGGATCTTATTTATTTGCCAGAGAGAGACACAGAGAG